CCTTTTGATTTTTAAGTACGGCTGAATACGGATGCTTTTATCACATGCTTATTTGATATAAATAAGCATGTGATATTTGATATAAATACTTTTAGTATTAAATGAATGACTTGCGATAAAATATTACTAATTTAACGATATAAGGTTACATTAAAACTAGCGAATAAAACCTGTCGTTAGGAATTCACACTAATTAATTTCTGATATTTTTTTCTCATTTCGATATGTGACGATACTAACCTTTGTATTACGTTATTATCATAAATTATTAATTATAATGTTTAAATTATTAAAAAAAGAATCTATGACATATTGTATGATTATTATACTAATCAACTCTTCTGTAATAATTATTTTCAAGTAATTACGTGACACAAAAATGTAAAAAGAAATAGAATAAATTTGAGCAAGGTGAAGATTTTTTTTAGTTTAGTAATCTAGAAAAGAGAATCAATTTTTGTGCGTCGAAATTCTTATGCAAACTACGGCTAACTAAAACGCATAGGCGTCGCGCCGTCCAGCCGACGCGCCTGTCATACCGCCCGGCGCCAGAGATAAAATGCCAAACTTGCAGTACATACATACACTGCGAACGCTAGAATTTTGAGAACCACTGGTTTATCTATATCATATACCACTCGTCGAATGTAATCAAATAATTAGCTTTATTACTTTTGCGGGCCGCAAGACGATTCATATTTTTTTTAGGTGTTCAGATAAATCTTTAATTGACTTCGTGAGTCCTAGAAAGTTCAGTTTCTTGAGGCACAATCATACCTCTATTATAAAATTTTACATAACAATAGGATTTAATATACAGAAATTTAGATCGTAATTACATCTCATTTGTAACCGGATATGAGGCCCAAATTTTGTATTATGTAACAAATCATTCATTACTGTTTACTGTTCAGGATGTGTTTGGCTTTGTTCTCAGGCTTTCATCGATTCTGTAATAACTACTCATTTGAAACATTGACTTGTTACTTACAAACCCATTATTTTTAAATTACCAATAAAGGTTAATACATTTGCAATGTTATCAAGGTAAAGGAATTTACATCCACAGAGCCACGTCTTTTGTAATAATTTCCAAAAATTTAATTAATTTCATTTCAATCCATAAATGACAATATTATGTATAATACATTTAACGTAGTTAAGTTCTTATAGTTTACTACTATTATATAACTAAATATGTAATCCGATAACAATGCTTTGTTAAATGGGATGTAAGTGGAACTTTTAGAAATACAGACTTATGCTTTAGAATATGTGATTTATGTTTTATATTATCGAGCAGGTCTTGTGAGCTTGTTATTATTTATTTATATTTATCGTGTAGAAGGAAAATAGAGATATATTATCGTAAAAGTAAAGGACTTTGTTCAACAGAATAATAATGAACTAAGCAAGCGATGAACACTAACACGTAATTTACAAAACAGCAGATCACCTTGAATGAAGAAACTCGATTATTACACAACACAAAGATAATACAAATTTCAGTATTAAGCAAAACCTTGTTATTGGAAACTTATTTGGATGGAAAACTATTTAGTGAGAGAGTAATAGTAGTTTATATAGGCGATAATAGATCAATCTTAGACGAGATAGTTATTAGAGAAATTTTCCTTGCCGAAAAAGTGAATCATGGGCAAAATAACAAGGTATTCTGATAATTAAGTCATCTTTCGTGCCAGCTTACCGTATAATGAAAACGGTACATTTCTGATTACAATACCTACAAAAGAACATCTTCTGGACTTTTGTGTTGGTTAAATATGTTTAAAAGTACCTAGTCGATGGATTAAATACAAGATAAGACTTTCTATACACTTTTATCCCGAAGTTCTATAGTAATTTACAGAACTAAGTCACAGTGAAGCAATTTGTCAATTTGCAGCTGGTATTTAATTAGAGTGTAAGACCTCAAAACTATCTAATTATATTGCGATATACACACGGTTTTTGAATATATTAAATTAAATTGTCTCACTTGAATTTACTGGATGCATTCCCGATAATAATCTATACGGCCAACCTGTCGCAACAGGCAGTGTAGGTGCGGTCGCTTTTTTGCATCTTCCGTCGAAACCGGTTCTCATTTAATAATAAGAGCATCTTCATTGAAGCCTTACTTTTTTTGTTGTAAGCCTTGCGGTGAAATCTTAATCTCGTGTGAAACAATTTCTTGTCTGGAAAGCTTTTAATTTATTTAATTATTTATTATTATATTTATAATCATATATTTATAATAATAGATAATTAATATTATCTATTATTATTTATGTATAAAATGAGTTTCCAAAGAATTTAAGTGTATAGGTATTTACAGTCACATTTGATAAATTTATCAAAACTCCAGTGGACTTTAATCTTATGGAAACTTGACAAACTGTGGTGTGTATCTACATTAAAATTGTGTTTAGTTGTAGTAGACAAGAGACCTTTCAAAATAGTGAGTTGTTGTTTATGCACATCTATAATTATTGCTGAGAACAGGCTTCATAAACATCTATGCTTCAATGTTGTATGTAATTATTAGTTTGCTTGTAAAATAGATTAAAATAATAACTGTTTACATTACGTAGTCAAATGGCAAGCAAATCAGACATGGAGTTAATTTATTTGATGATAACCTGTTGACAATATACCCTGCCTTTATCTTTTCTTCTTTAACATTTGGTTCACGTCTAATAATTATTACCTACTTACGAAATGTATATAAAAACATTTCCCTTTCACATGATACATGATAATGCGAAACATAATATTAAAACTGAAAAATTTAACTGATTGAATATTAAGTATGACGCAGGCAAAATATTGGTAGTTGAACTTTACAAAAAAGTGTTTAGGATGATTTATCGAATATTTTAAAGGGTAATAAATAGCAATTGAAAAAGTGTTGGCGACAACATACGGGACGAAAAGGTCAGACCTTATATTCTCTGTAACTGACCAGGAACATTACAAATTCCAAACAATTGTATGACTTGACCTTCACGAATTTCAACTCCAACAATACCTATGTTACGTTAGACTAAGTCAAAACAAAATGTTTTGTTTGTGTATTTATGAATATGAAGTGCTCACGAGAGATTACTTTTGACATGGGTAAGGTCATTTTTAATTTACAAAATAAATATTAAATAAACCACACATTCCTTGTTCAGATAAAAATAAAAACGTAGACTTGCCATACCGACCAGGAATCGTGACCACGACTTAGAAGATGGCGACACTATGCTATAAAACCAGCATGCAAATCAATTTTAACAACAAGACAATAACAGAGGCAGAGCAGAGTAAAATGGAGCGGGCTATACTTTTATTACACTGCGTGATAGAATAAGGAATACGGAAATCAGCAGGCGTACTAAACTGACCGGCATGGCACGTGTCATTCATTACAAAAAGGGAAGGGTAATGTTACCCGAAGGACGGATGGAAAATGGAACCAGAGAGTGTGGGACTGTGAAACCAAGGTCAAGAAAGAGAAATTTCGGCCGGCAACCAAAGCGATGGGCTGACGTGTGTGCGGAAAGAACTGGATGCAGAAAGAAAGACCGGGATAGGAAACGATGGCATGAAATTGAGGAGGCGTATACCCAACTATGGGTTATGAAGGGCTGATACAATAACAAACATTTTCTACATTAATATTAATTTATCTATCACATAATGCAAGTTAGTAATAAATATATTTTTTTTATCATTTAAATTACTATTGACTTAAATGTTATACTAATACCATAGACCACCGCCTGCTATGGTTCTGAGAAGCTTATGAGCTCTCATCGATATCCAGAGCTCAGTTTCTTATTAAACACAAGTACATTTTCTAGGAAGCACTAATATTTTTTTCTTGGTATAGCAGTCCAGACTATAAACAAGAAATGATACATACTAATACGATGACATTTAAAAATGAATTCAAGAATTAACTTTTGAAATCTTTTAAGTCTCTAATTCAAATTTCAGTGTTATATGGTACCGTTTTCGGTGACTATGTAAAGATAGAAGTTCATTAAGTTATTACTATTTAACTTTTAGTTTCAAAGTTTCGTGTTACTTAGTTTGAAAGTTTATTCCGGGCAGTACTTAGCTAGACTGGATCGATTGTCTTAAGGCTTTAGTATTAGAACTGAAACCGCAATCTTGTGTGGTCTAGTCGTAGATTGTATTTTAAGAGGACTTTAGAATTTATGCATTTTAATAAATTTCATCATTTAGAATCCTTGGCATTTAGTAAAAAATATTAAAGACAATTTTTTCAGAAACAAAATAACTAAAGACAAGTTTTTTTATGTGTCGCTGTTTACACGATTGAACGAGTTACGAAAAAGGAAATAAAATCATAAAGAACAACCACGTTTTGGTTCAAGAAAAAAAAAACTTAAAAAGCGTAGTTATACCGTTCTGGCACAAAAAACCGAAGAGTCAATGACAAAGCGATAAGTAGGTATACATATCACTGTAAATTTGTTACGTAATCGTTTAAAAATAACTCTAACAACAGTTAAATAAAAAAGGCAATATTTGTTCTATGATTACAGTAGATAATAATACCTATTAACTCTTATTAGTTTCCAAATTATAGTTAGTTATATCTTTTACAATTGATCTGTTTATATTAAATCAATCAACACTGTCGACTTCCAAATATTCTTCTAGATCAAATAGAAGTAACTTGATAATATAAAACTAATTTGTACGATTTTTATTTGTACAAGTGTTGGCCGTCAATAGATTTTTTGTCTAATACGACCTTTTCTCTAGGATATCGGGATCATTATGCGGGTAGACTATCGTAGGTTGCGAAAGATTACTACAATACTATGTTTTTACAGTTGCGCAAACAATAGTAGTTACAGTTGCATGCACATGATCAATATAAATATTGAGTGATAAAAAATATTTATCGGATAGCGAAACGCCACGTCAAACGCCCAATGCCTATAACAATAAAGAGATAAAAAAGAACTAGCACTAACCGTGAAAAATCCGCTCACTTCGTACTAAAACTGCGGTGCTACCTGAGATGTTTGCAACATTCCAAAATGCACTTCAAGAATTCCACACTTTATATTTCCGTAATTGCACACAGTAACAGTTTCTACAATAAACCAAGACTCGCAAAAATAGTATTAAAAAACACGACAAAACTAATTAAATCAGTTTTACACGAAAGTTATCACGCGACTTTCAAGCACAACGAAACAACCTCCTACCTCGGCACCCCGTCGCGGACTGACGCGCGCGCGTGTGTGAAGGAAATGCCAAAATATTTGAATGGAAATAGTACGGCGTTAGAAAGGGAGAAAACATGGATAAGTACGAAGTTAGCGGTATGATATGACAGAATGAATGAGCACATGGCACGCTATTTAGTTTTTTAATAGGTATTCCTTTGCTTGCACAAAACACTAAGTTGGGATTTCGCGCGTTTTTGTTGTAGGCGGCCACGTGTACTGCATTTTTTTTTTAATAAGTGCTTTTGAAGTATGTTTTTTCCTATTGAATATTCTTAAAAAAAATAAACAAAATTATAGTTAAGAAGACCACTATGTACTATACTATACTTATAATTGAAACACAACTTATTTTAAAACAAAAATAGGGTGATGTCTAGTTTGTATAAAATTTTAGTTATTAATTATTCAGCAAATAATTAAACAGAGTTAGGTACTTCCATTAGCATAGACAACAATAATACAAATATCACTAGGTAGTACCTACTTGCCTATATTTATTTGAATTAAGAAATTCTGGTTTTGAATTAAACATGTTAGCTGGTATCGCAAAGTGGAGTTCGGAGACATTAATTATGTATAGTCTATTATCTTTGTTCTCGCTTTATTTCAAAGAAGAAATCAGCGTCTGATTTTTATCCGCTTTATATTGCAAGTACCTACCTACTCATACAATTTAAATGATACATTATTATTTTTTATTCTTAGAGAGTGCGTAAAGCTAAAAGACTGTCGCTGTCTATCTTATTACACCCGGCAATAAGATAGATGTTAATTTTTGCGACAGGAACAGTTTTTAACCGACTCCAAAGTCCAAAAGGGAGGTTACATGTTCGACGGCGATATATATTTTTTTAAATATATGTACCTATGTTTACCGATATTTCCGTCAATTGTTGATCGATTTTCAAAATTCTTTTATTCGACAGTTAAATGGACCGAGGTGGTCCCATTTTAATTTTATCGAAATCAAATCAGTAAATGGTGATTCCTGAGAATGGCATTTTTGAGTTGATTTTCCTGGTCATTTTGAAATCTCAAAATTACGAATATATTTTGGATCAGGGTTAAAATTAGGAGTCTTAGTAATAATATTTTTTGATAGGCACTCGTTTCTGTTCAATGTTTTCCAAGACATTTCATTTTGGAATTTCGTGGCCAGGAAAATCAATAATAACCCACAGGAAAATCAAGAAATGAAACAAATTTCATTGAAAATCACTGTTTTTAAATTTAAATGCAAGAATCAAAGTCAGAAATTATGAATTTGTTCTTTATCTAAATTTTCTCAACAAATGTTTCCAAGGGGATTTTTTTTATGGACTGCTTTGTAGTAGGGATATTGATTAGCCGAATGGAGTGAACTTCGTGGACTGGACAGATTTAATGAAGCTGATTATTGGTAGGTGAAGGTGGTGGAGACGAACAAACAATGCCTTGTTGATCTGTGTTGTATGTAGTTTCCCAAGAGCTTAGCCTATAATAAAGAAGATATCTAAACAAAATATTGTTGAATATTATCTTTAAATCCAATACTATTAATAAACAGTAAATGTTACTGGAATTACTTAATTATGTGCCTAATAACATAATAAAATCAATAATGAACCTATAAATATTAATGTTGGTCTTCGGATATAACTTTTTGTCAAAGGATTAAAAAGCATATGAAGTGACAGCATTATTTCACGTTGCGTAGGCTTAACCGAAGGAATGGTAAAAACCGAGCCCATGAATATTACAAGGGTAGAAAGGTCGTTTGCAGAACGGCTCTCAAACTTTCCCGCCCGTTTTTGTAAGCGTCGCCGTGGGCCATTTTGCCTCTTTTTTATTTTTCAGGTTTTTTAGTAGTACGGCTTCTAGTGGGGACGATCGCTATTACCTACAAAAGCAGTAAAACAACGCTGCTTTATTATTGGTCCTAGTTATTTTAGTCGTTTATATGTAGGTATAACTCTGATTATTTATTTACAATGCCAATAATAAAAGTTCCTTATTACAATTCTATCGTGAAGATTGTTTTTTATAAAGCAGGCTCTGTAGATACCATTTTTATATATTCGTCGTGGTCTCATCATCTGTATTGCTTTGATATACTTGCAGCTCTACCGCGTTATTGAAAGCTGGATTGATCAAATTTTTCAATACGAGACCAAATCTGATTGATCTGATGACCTGATGACTAATGATCTGTGTTGCCAGATTATTTAGCTTTGGCTTAATTTATTTTAATAGCTCAATCCAGGCTTCAGTTACACTTTAGAGCCGCTTTTGCAACGTCAATGGCCCTATCTTTATTTCACGTTAATTTAGAAGTTTTATTTTTTTTTCAGCTTCTAAACACTGTAGACCTAAGTATATGGGTTAAATTTCAACTCGACATCTCCAAGTGTTCCATAAATAAAAGGTCTGGACAGACATACAGATCTTTTAAGAGAATAGCATAGGTGACAGTGTTTATTGTCAACGTTGTAATCTAAAAAACCGGCAAAGTACCACTTTAAACATATAAAAAAATATTGTAAAGTCGGTATGGAACCCGAAAATATACTGTGATATCGTCACAATTATATTATACGTTTCTACGTCGGTCACCAAACTTATTCCGGTCTAATTTAAAAATGAATTTAACCTCGGACAGAATTAAAATGCATTTCAAAATACATTTCGGACCTATTTGCTCTTATTACGGCATACGCACATAATAACCTTCACTATCATTATTTAACCTTATGTTGATAATATTAACTTAACAAATTTGAATCAAATAAAATTATCAGCCTTACGAATATTGAACCCGTACCTTACTCATCAAGAACGTGAGCGCACAAAATTGCGGCTCGTTCGTGTCAGACGCATTCGGAAGCTCACCGCGGTTTCTATTCTATTCCACATTCTACTCGCGCTGATTTCATTTTGCTATCTATGTAATTCATATAACTTTATATTTATTATTATTATTTTGTAGTTTTTTTATTTATATAATTAATTGAAATTGAATTATCAGCTTTACTTATTAATAATTTTCAATCTTGAAGAATATGTGCATTGTGCAACACTAGCACTAAAATGACCGACGTCGATGACCCTAGATCTGGCACATCACTAATTACGTGTAGTAAAAGCTTACTAGAACAATGCGCGACGCGTCAAAGGACTCGCCAACAAAGCCTTGCTCTTTTATTCAATGTGGTATGAGCATAGGAACAATAAAACAGCGTTTTGTAAAAACTTTCTTTATATAATGTTTCAGATTGCAGACACGGTTATCTAAAATTTAATAAAATCTATAAATTATACCGTTTGAAAGGCGTTTTTTTAAATATGGCAATATATTTCAATTACTAATATTAAAAACGTGAAAGTTACTCTGTCTGTCTGTTACACTTTCAAGCCTAAATCACAAACGAAATTCGGAACAGAGATACCTATAGTTGACCTTGGGAATAGACTTAAGTTGCCTTTTATCGTGAAGAAAGAGGTTAAAATAATGGAAAGTTACGCAGTCGTCTCATAAGTTAGGTAGAATATATTACAAACTTCTGCTAACTTTTGTTTAGAATAATATTTTGACTATCAAAACATATCATATATATTTGACGACCTCCATAGCCGAGTGGTTTGCACGCCGGTTTCAAGGTGTCGCCATCTCTGAGGTCCCGGGTTCGATTCCCGGTCGGGTCAATGTTGAAAATGAACCTTCGTTGTCTCAGATATTCCATAAAACGGGTGCTTTAGCTACATGTCTTGGAATCTGAAAACGTGTGTGATGTTGTTTAATATTTATATTTATTTATTTATATTCGATCATACTTAAAATTTCCTATGATAAATGTAAAAAGCAATCATGTGCCAAAACTCTTTTAGCTAATACCACAGATACACGATTATCAAATCAATAAACATAGTGTTTGTGTTTAAATTTATAGAACAGTTTAACATGCTCTCCACCTTATTAGAAAGAGCTAGGCTTTTGTTCGTTTTTGAACACCCTTGACTTTAAAGATTTCAGTGCATGTAGTGCTTTGTAACATACCTTGCTTACTTGGACGTTTGTTATACAAAACTAACCAAGTCAGATTGACGTTAACAATACTCATTTTAGCCTTCTAATAAGTATCCAAATTACATTTTGAATTAGATGTGGAAATATTATTTTACGTCATACTGTCAAGATACTCGTATAAAAATACTAATATAAAATTTATTGAAATCGTCTCAAATTAAATACTAAACATAGTTATGGAACAATACCTGAACATAATAGACATTTAATAAATTTAATATAATCTAGCACTATATATACCTACCATGAATATAATTTAATAAATATTTGTCTCTATTTATTGCACAAATTGAACTTATGTGGTTGTCACCATTCTTTTTAATTTTGTTCCATTTATAGGTATATTGTTTTTGTAGACATTTGTAAGTAACAAAATGAGCTGGTTGTAATAAACTACTTATAATTTATCCTGCTATTTTTCACCCAGCAACATTTAACCTTTTCCACTGTTATAAATAACAGTTACATATCACTGTTCTCGTTTCTCTAGCGGTCACTTCCTTTGGAAAAATGTTATCTCAATATACAACACATAAATACAGTCGTTGGAGAGAACAAAAAGTAGTTTCCCCCATAAACATAGCAGTTAGAAAAATAAATTATTATGCACAGTGTTGCCAGATAGAAAAGAAATAAACAGGGGTTAGTTTTGCCGGAAATGGCTATGGGGTTAAGCTGTATAGCTTGATTATAAAGGATTTAAAAGGTTCAAGGGGTATTCTTTAGCTGATTTATGAAGAAACGATGTGATAAAATAATAAAATAGATTCATCATCATCATTCTATTAATGTTTCCACTGGGGCACAGGCACTTTGGATGGAATAGAAACGACCAGTGCCGTGTACCTTTTAAAATTGCAGATGCAGACGAAATTTTTCGTCACCGGAACAATGATCGGCCTTTGCGAAAGTTGCTTAACTTCCGCATTGCAAACAAAACGCGCTAATCATGGCGCTATATTTTGTATCTGTC